ACCTTAGAACAATAATTTTGGTTAAAATTTAGGAAAAATTGACAGGAATATTACGACCTTTACTCCGTCCGCCCAAAATAAAACGACCTTTTGAAATTCCCCCAATAAAACGACCTTTTACCCTTATCTTCTTAAAATAGAACATCTTACTGGTTACCGGCTACAACTTGTTATACTGGTCCACGCTAAGGGTTGACCCTTCTTTTCCCTTGTAATTTAGCCTACGTGGCATTAATTACCCAACTACCCTTCTTTTCCCTGCCTTTAATTCAATTTCTCTCTCTGTCCTTCTTTCGTCCTCTCTGCAAACTCCATTAAAGATGCGAAAAAGGACTGAAGCTCATTGAATTTAATTGCTCCTCTGACTTAGTGGTTGGGGAAAGGATTGAAGTGGGTTGTTTGCGAGAAGGAACAAGGCTCGAATTGTGTGATTGGAAAATCTGGAATTGGTTCGAAGGTATGTAATTGAGCTTACATTTTGCCTTATTTTGTCTGATTTGTGAATGTGTTATTTAGATAATTGTAGTTATTTGCGTCCAATTTTGTTGTGTTATGGTGTGATTATGCTAATTAGATGTTAAATTTAGTAGCTTTGGTTGAATTGGATGACTTGTTAATTGTGCAATTATGCGATTTGATGTTAGGGTTGGATTTTGCGATTGTTTTAGGGGTTGATTTTTTCGAATATCTGATATGTTTTGGTTGATTAGATTGATAGATGTGATAATTGTGGTTGATATGTAGGTAAAATGTCTACCTTTTGTGATAAACTTACCAATTTTTTTTCATTTCTACAAGCCTTCATTAGCTCAACTCGGATACATGATATTTCACTCTTCATCTCTTGTACATCTTCCTCCAAATTCTCCTTCTTCAATTGTAGTTTCTTAATTTTGTCTTCTCTTAATTTTTGCTCATACTCCAATTCCAATATAATTGTGTCTTTTTCCAACATCTTCATTTGGAAATCTTCTGCAGTTGTTATCTAAATTAGGCCCTTGTCTCACTGTTCTAACCACATCATCTCTCCCGCGCCCAGTTGCACCGAATTTTTGGACGAGTATTTCTTCTTGAATTAGAAGATGACAGAGATGCATTAGATGATTGCCTTCTTAAAGACATGACACCATTTACAATGGGAGACCACAAAATTAAAATTAAAAAAAAAGGGAGGAAAATGAAAGAAAATAGTGGAACAGGGGAGAAGAACGACATGGAGCTGGGTTAAATAAAAGGAGGAGTATTTTAAAACCCCAACGGTCATTGCCACGTAACCATTCTACCTACAAACTCCGGTTACCAGTTGAAGATGTTCTATTTTAAGAAGATAAGGGTAAAAGGTCGTTTTATTGGGGGAATTTCAAAAGGTCGTTTTATTTTGGGCGGACGGAGCAAAGGTCATAATATTCCTGTCAATTTTTCCTAAAATTTATTATATAAATTATTTTGATTCAGAATTTTTGTTAATAAAATTTGATAGAATCTAAACTATTTGGAAATAAGTTCATTTGTGGCAACTTATATTTAATGAATGGTTAAAAAAAAAATTAAAGAATCCTTAGAACAATATAATAATTTTGGTTAAAATTTATTATATAAATCATTTTGATTCAGAATTTTTGTTAATAAAGTTTGATAGAATCTAAACTATTTGGAAATAAGTTCATTTATGGCAACTTATATTTAATGAATGGTTAAAAAAAAATTAAAGAAACCTTAGAACAATAATTTTGGTTAAAATTTATTATATAAATCATTTTGATTCAGAATTTTTGTTAATAAAATTTGATAGAATCTAAACTATTTGGAATAAAGTTCATTTATGGAAACTTATATTTAATGAATGGTTAAAAAAAATTAAAGAAACCTTAGAACAATATAATAATTTTGGTTAAAATTTATTATATAAATCATTTTGATTCAGAATTTTTGTTAATAAAATTTTGGAATAATAATATTAAATCATTTTGATTCAGAATTTTTGTTAATAAAATTTGATAGAATATAAACTATTTGGAAATAAGTTGATTTATGGCAACCTATATTTAATGAATTTTGCTAATATGTTAACAATTTTTTGAAATGATTGATTCAAATATAACCTATATGTATAATTTTATTATAACTATAATACAAAGTATATTTTTTCATAGTATATATAATTAATTTTGAAATAATAATATTTGTCTTCAACTTAGCCACTATATGTAATAATTTTCTTAATTAAACTACACTTATTCACGTTCAACAATATTTTACCTTTTTCACTTTTACCTTTTAATTGATAATTACTCTATTTCATTATCTTCCTATTTTTAGTTTATTTTAGGGTTACTTTTGGGCTAATGCATAATAGGTATTATCCGGAGTCAAAAAATGATTTTTTTTTGAATAAATACACATGATGAGTACAATGTACTAGGGTTGTACTTGACTGAACCTATTCTAAAATTTATATGAACATACTGATTAATGTTCAACATTTTTTTAAAAAAAAAAAAATACTATCCCTGCTTCTTATTACTTGCAACAAAGATGTATAATATATGGGCTATAAAATATTTTTTTAGTTGCAACTAATAAAAAAGGGAGTCCTTGCAAAAAACAAAATAAAAATAAAAAAGGGAGTTAGTATTAGTTTTTAAAAGTCAAACTTAAATTTTTGTGTACAGTAAAACCTATATAAAACCTTTATAATAGGAAAAAAATGTTTTATTATGGTGTTTATAATTAATTTATTTGACTATTTTACTATACTAAAACCTACAATTAGGAAAAATTAAAAGTAAATTAGAAATGAGAATAACGTAAAATTTTATTTTATAATTGACGGGAATGTAAAATATTATTTGCATTGTCTTTTCTTAATCCCTTGGTCAATCTGTGAGTCTATATTTGTGTGTATGTTCATTGTTATTTTCGAGGTAATGCAAAACGGGTATTATGCGGGGTTTAAAAATAGAAATTTAATTGAAAAAAACATGATGAGTAGTATGCACTAGGGTTGGCTAGGTATTTGAGTGAACATATTCTAAAATTTATATGAATCATATACTAATGTTCAACATATTTGATTTTTAATATTACCCCTGTTTCTTTTGCTTGCAAGTTGTAACAAGTGTGCATTATTTATGGGATATAAAAAATTTCTTATTAGTTGCAACTAATAAAAAAATAGAGTTAGTTTCAAACTTAAATTTTTTTTTATAAGTAAAACCTACATAAAGCCTTTATTCATAGGAAAAATATATTTTATCATGATGTTTATTATTAGTTTGCCTTTTTCACTGGATTGAAACCCACAATTTGGAAAAATTAAAAATAAATTAGAAATGAGAATAACTTAAAATTTTATTTTATTTTTTTAAGGGATCGTAAAATATTACTACAATGATGAATGTTTATTTGTATATACAGTATTTACATTGTCATTTCCTAACTTATCCATTGATTATTAATGTGAGTCTTTATTTGTGTGTATAATTGTACATACAACGATGAATGTTTAATTTGTTAATTTTAGTGATTCCATTATTAATCATTAAGTTAAATTATAAATTAATATGTTGATTTGTAAACCGTGCATCGTACGAGAACTATGCTAGTTCTATATCTATAAATACTCCACTGTTGCATCAAAAATTAATAAATACGCATAACAATATACGGAGTATTTTATTTCTAGCTTACAAAAGTTTTTCCATGAGCAATCAAATCCGATGGTCCCTAGAATGAAAATTCCTGGTTTGTGCGTGGGGATAGCCGGCGCGTTAAATTAGTATGTTTTGTAATTTTTGGACTAGCACTCTTCATTGTGGCTTATTATGGACAATTTGGACATGAAGATCGATATAAATTCGAGGTGGATTCTTTTGAGGCGAAACTATCACCTATGATGATGATCTCGAATAATGTTACTATGGAGCCAAATTTGAGTTTGGATCTCAACGTAACTCTTTCCCTACTTAATAGGTTATGGTTGTTATTTGAGCCAATCTTGGTGTCACTAACTTACGAAAATGATAATTATGTCCTCTCCTCGATAGAGCTTGATTCTTTTTATCACGAAAATATTCTTAGCCATAAGAAGATCATGCAAATTGGGATGCCAGTTCAAAATTATACTCCCTCCGTTTTTAAATACTTGCTCCATTTCCCCATGCGCAGAGTTTTAGGAGAAATTGGAGAAAGTAATAAAATATGGAGATAGTGGGGTAGTTGAGAAAATAAAAATTATAAAAAAAAAAACAAAAGTAGTGGAAGAATATGAGGGGAGAGAGTATTATGTTGGGTCCATTAAGTGTAAGAAATGAATTAAATATTGTAAAAGCTTTCCAAAAGAGGAAATGGAGCAAATATTTAAAAACGGTCGGAAAAGAAAAGTGGAGCAATTATTTAAAAACGGAGGGAGTACAAAAAAGCAACACAACGTTGATTTGGAGTTCACCTTAAATATTGTAGGTCAATGTTTCAAGGTTTCTTGCAAAGGCATCAAAGTTGTGTTAGTTACTTCGTCGTCAAATATCACCTCCGGGTCTATGCTTGGTGGCCCAATCTCTTGAAAATAGGCTCAAAAACTAACAAAGCGGGTTTGTTTAACAAGAATTATTTTTAATTAGTTTCTTTTGGAACACTTATTTTTAATTAGTTTGTTCGATAGAATGCTACAAGGCTTGATTTGTTTCACAACGGTGTGAGTATATCCCGCAATGTTTTTTTTTTTATTTTTTTTTTATTTTGGTAAAGATAGCAGCTCGAATGCTAGCATTATAAGAATCGTGACCTACAACTCATTTATATGAAGCTACACAAAATTAACAAGAATTTCATACTACACAACCACAGTGAAATGCAATTAAAATATAAAGGTGCAAAGAGCATCAATGTTTGATTTGTTTTAGTATTATTAATTTGAAATACAATGTTGACAATTTGAAATACAATGTTGAATACCGAAGAAAATATAAAGAGTAATACCTAATAACTACGTATAATGAAGGTTTTTTTTTTTTTTTTTTTTTTTTTTTTTTCGGAGAGATGAGATTGAATAGCATTTCAAGAGTAACTGTCTTTTAACCAACTAAAATCATACACTAGTGAGTACTGAGCAATTGTCATTATAGAAATATACTAACATAGTTATATATATAAATATATACAGAGAACAAAACAATTCAAACGGTCTTACAGTAAGAATGCAAGATTAACAAAAAATTATAATGTTCAGTAGCATAGTAGCAGTCTGGCTGACAAAGCATGCAGCACGAGCTAGTATTGTGCCAAGTTTGGATCAAAGGTCAATAGAAATATACCACTCTGCTATCAGGCACTTTGCCTTGCCATAAGGGAGGGGGGAGACTTTTTAGTGTAAATTCACAGCATATCGTAGTTACATTGAACTAATTAATGGTGGATACCATAACGTCAAAACAAGACATAAAAACAAGCGAGAAGAGAGAAAACAACTCCACCTCTGTACCAAAATATGTACCTCTGCACTAAACCAGTAGAAACACCGCCAAATCGTCATCTCCTCCAAATTGTCATCATGCCAAAATATTGCAGTATTGCAGCAAGAACAAACGACAAAAATAGAAAAGTCACGATTGTGCCAAGTGCAACTGCCAAAAACAGAACCTGAAAATAGACAAGGTAAATTACAAACCGTTTGGAAAAAAAAAAAAGAATATATTATATATATATATATATATATATATATATATATATATATATATATATATATATATATATATATATATATCTTACAATTGACATATGTGACATATGTGCCATGGTATTGTACACCCCAACAGCATAGGAGCCGTATTGGCCAACAGCGGAGACGATTTGAAGCAATACTGACAAATCATGCAACCTAAAAACAACACAAAAACAACATGAAAAGAACAGCAAACATGTATCATAAGCACAAAATTCTGACAAACCCAACTGAAAATTTTGCACTTTCTAACAATCCCAAATGAAATATTTGCACTTTCTAAACCCCCACTCCTGCCACCATAGCCCCACTCCCGCCACCATAGCCCCACCACCCTATGGCCCCTGAACTGAGCCCCACCAACCCTGGCCCCCTGAACTGAACCCCACCACCCATGGCCCCTTGAACTAAACTGAGTTGCGCTGCATATAGCAGCTCCTACCCTTAACCGTTCTCCCTGCTCTCCCTGTCTTCTCTTACCCCTTGTTGTGTATGGCAGTCCTTGCCTCCAATGATGTCACAGCTCAACTTCCTGCACACCTTCCCTATCCGCTTTAAAAGACTGACTCCAGTGATCAGGACTTAATAAAAGATTTCATCAATCTTCAGAGTTAGCATCTAATTAACGCCTATCGTGGTTAATTTTGTGAGCTAAGAAAGGCCTAGCAAGAAAATAAAGAGTGCAGGACAAGCACTTTACAGCAAAATACAGAGCTAACTACTTGCGCGCACACATAACCATAAGCATTGCAATGATCAGTTTGCAAGCCTGTCCATCAACTTAGCAAACATGCAACTCCAAAAAATCAAATGTTCTGTAAAACTTGAAGTCTACAAAATGTTTACCTATGTGAACAGTTGACTACCAGCAGTCTCCAACAAATAACTTTCTCATTGCTCATTTCCCAACTAGCTTGTTCATAGCTCATCTACTTTTGACAAAACTTTAAAATGATAAAAGTGATGAGTACATCTAGATTACCTTACACAGATAACTACTTGTTGGTTCCTATATGTTGGTTAAGTTTTGAATTTTTTCGTGAGAGACATATAGTCAAAGCGTAAACCAACAAAAAGGAACCGAAGCAGTAGTCCCTCTAAATCTTATAATATTGTTATTAAAAACTACCATTGTACTCAATCGAAAAAGGACCTAATGTCTTATTCCTAACTATACAAATTATTCATTCACATTATCCATCTACACTTGAAACTTGATGCAAAGATCAAATTGCTGAAAAGTTTAATACACACTTTTCTAATTCAATTTCTTTACATTTTACACAATACTACTCTTATCTCCTGAGTCCTTGCCTCCAATGATGTCAGTCCTTGCCATTTTACCAGCACCTCGAGTACTTCAGGTTTGCTCCTAGATGCCCTAACTTCTAACACACTCTCGAGTGCTACCTCTAACTCAAGCTCCTCTAATAGTTGGCTAGGAATGTTCAGGTTAGTCATTCGATTCTTAAGTGCTCTCTTAAGTCGAGACACATGGAAAACAGAATGAATGCGGCAAGTGGCAGGTAACTCAAGTTAGTATGCCACCTTCCAAATTCACCTTGAAGGGTCTATAGAAACGCGGGCCTAACTTCTCATATGGCCTCTGTAGATGTGGCCCAAAATTTCATATAGACCAAGTTTTGAAGAAGCCTAATACAATTCTTCTTGCTTCAAGAGTATGTCAAATATTCTACAATTATGTTGATTATTCTAGAAAATAGTCAACTTTCTAGAAGCAATATTATCATGCAAGCAAATCTAGAGAATTCTTCATACATCTTGGGGCATCCATTTCCACCGACCTAACCAACTATAAATAGTTGGAGTTTGGCTCATATTGAGGCATCTAACCAATATACATTCAACCTCCATTATACAAATTTACCCACTCACAAAATTACTCATCCATTTACACTAGTCTCCCTAGTTAATCTCCTCCTTGTAATTTATTCCACTATTTTCTTTTCTTTTATTTTGAGAGTTTAATTGTAAGAGTTGTATCTCAATACCCTATTATTGGGGTAACTTTGTATCTCCTTTTTATTATAGTGGAATTTTTTGGTGCTCGTCGTCGTGGGTTTTTTACCTGTATTTAGAGGGTTTTTCCCACGGTAAATATCGTGTCTCCTTTTATTACTTATCTTACATTTTACCTTTAATTTCTCGTTTTATTTTACATTTCCGCTGCGTGCTCATACCCTAACAGCCTCTTAGCAAGGGACTTTTGCCGGTATGCCTCCAATGATGGCAGTCTTTGCCATTTCACCATACCATCGACCCCCACCACCCATGGCCCCCTCAACTGAACCCCAACCACCCTCGTCCTCTCATTTGACCACCACCATCACCCCGAAACCACCACTTACCACCACCTCCACCATGAACCAAACAAACCCCACCTCCACCATGAACCAAACTAACCCCACCCCCAAACCTCCCTAAACCTATCCCCTCCCTCGAAATCACAATAAAACCTAACCCTCACCACCAAAAGCACCCTCACCACCACCGAAACCCTCATTCTTTCATTTTCTTCTTCTTTCTTACCACACCAATATTATTACTACAATATATTAATTAAGGGAGAATAACCCAACAACAATTTCACAATTAGAATAACCCAACAAATATTTCAATAATTTAGTACCTTGATTCAGCTCCTAGGACTGCATTTGCTTCAATGTCACCAACTCTAGAAGCTACCACGCCACCAGCACCACCTCCATTGGAAGCTCCAATTTGTTGGTTTTTCATAAAAAAAATTTAAACAAATTAAAGAAAGTATGAAAAATAATTACAAATTATGAATTTCAATGAAAAATCTATACCATTTCTTGAATTCATTGCAGCCAATTCACCCTGTAATCCACTTAAAGAGTCTTCAATTCTACTGAGTGATTGAATAATTTGTCTTTGCAAAGACAAATTTCCTTCCATTAGGGTGGAAAAATTCGTCAGGAAGATTTAGTTGGTCAGGTTGATTTTGTTGTGCCATTAATGTGTTTTTGAACCTCTGAGAAGTCGGAATGAGTATTTAGAATTGGGTGGGGGGAAAATGGAGTCGACGACAAGTCAACGAGCTTGACAATTAGTATTAGTGTGAGAAAATCCCCAAATTCAAGTTTATACTTACATATTTGATAAACATAATCCGTCAATCAAAAGGGGTATTGTGGACTTTTACATCATTTAATCGGGGTAATATGATAAAATCGCATGAGATGACTAGGCATAAATGCCACGTAATATAATTTTATGACATCTAATTGGAGAACGTCGTTAATCTTTGGGTATGACTGTATGAGTGAGTAGGTGATAATGCATCAATTAATCAGATCATAAAGGGATTTCGCTACGTATGACAATCACAAAATTAATCTACCGGTATTAAATCTCATCTCTCGAATCTCGACTTAACTATTTATAAATTAACATGCCTATTGAAACTAGGCCTAAATATCAATTCTCATCTCTCGAATCAATATTATTGCTAAACTCATACATAATAAACCTGCGCAAGTCTAGTTGCATAGCATTGAATCAATCAATAGGAAATTAATCAAGCATTGACAATCAACAGTAATAAATTACCCCTTCATATTGTTTTTGGATCCCCACAAACCCTAGAAAGAAAATTACTCGCACATAATTAAATCTAAACTAATCAAAGCAAATAAACAAGTCATGATGAAAGAAAGAGAATAAATTACTGAAATTAAAGGGAAAGAATTCGTTACCAAAGTTAACGGAAATAGAGAGTTGAATCAAGACCAAAGTATAGAGTTGTAGAGAGAGAAATTTAATCTAAAAATTAAGTAGAGAGAGAAAGTCTAAGAGAAGAGGTAAAAGAGAATAATAGAGAGAAAGTAATCATCTTAAAACAACTAAAAATGTATTTACACAAAGCTCCTAAAATCCTAATTAGAAACTAAGTAAAAATCGCCGAAAATCATCCTCCGAAAACACGCGCCCAATCGGGCGAGGCACCGCCCGATCGGGCCCGCCTTTTTCTTTATGGGGCGTCTCTCGCGCCTGATCGGGCGCGAGCTCGGGCAAAGGGTTGCTGCACATTAGTTCTTCTGCCCTCCTGGTCAGGCGCGCCTCCGAGCGAGGACCCTCGAACCGAGAGATAACCTTGGGCAACTTGGACTTCTCGTTTGGGCTATTAACTTCGTCCCAAAGGCTAATTTCCTCTTTGGGGCTTTAATCACTCGGTCCAATGCCTCGGTATCTCATATGTCGAGCCCTTAATCAACGGTTCGATGACTCTAACCGGCCTTGGGCTACGGCTAGTGGTCATGCTCCTCCAATGCTCGTAGTCGCTCTATATAATCCCGGAAAAATGCTCCTAAAGTGCAATTCCCTACAAAACTCAACCAAAACTACGAAAACACTAGAAAACACCAATTAATAAAAGTGGCTCTAAAGAGCCAAAAACACTACCAATTATGACCAAGGGACGAAGGTAAAATACTATATAAAATAGACATATCATCTGACCTGATTATAACCGCAAATTATTGACTTGAATCAAACCCGACTCGAACCTGAAAATGACCTTAACTTGTTATAACCCGTGAAAACCCGAATTAAATCTGACCTATTATTCACCCGACCTGAATGTAATCCGACCTGTTATTGATCCGATCTAAACCCGATAAGATGTATGAACCGACGTGACCCGAATCAAGCATGACTCAACCTGAACCCGGCCCGTAAAGATTATGACATTAACTTGTATTAACCCGACTCGAGTTGACCCCACCCACACTAACCCGACCCAAATTCGAACTGTTTACCCGAATTAACAGCTCTACATGAACCCGAAACTTTGGGTTAGGGTTGAGCATTCCTCGACTCGTGACCCGAACCGAATGATCCGTAACCCGAAGTGACTCGACCCGGACTTGACTTGTTCAACCCGATAGACAGGTCTAATTAACGCCTAACTCTAATGTTATGATGTGAATCAAGAGGCTAATTCTATTGAAGGGTCTAATACACTTTTAGAAGGTCCAAATAGCTTTATCATAGGCTGCCAAAACAAAGAAAAAGGAAAGGTCCACTAGATCAATGGGGAAAGAAGGAAGCTTGATCTCCATGAATGAAGATGTGCAGCAGTTCATTTCCGACGAAGTTGACAAAAGCCAAGCGTCGGTCTGGGTCCTATGCACCGAAAAGACGCGTGTCACCTATGGTGGCGCGTGAGGTGGTGCGTAAACAGCTAGGGCTGTCTTAAATACTTTGGAGGCCTTGTGTTACCACAAAATGTTGACCCTATTAAATATGTAGTTAAATTTTATCATTACGACAATTTTTTAGCAAAAGGATCGAAACTTGATTATTCAAATTAAACCTCCGATATGAACTCTTTGACTAGATTGTATACTTGTACTAACCCTATGATGCTAAGTGTTACCCACATTCATTTTATGCGGTTTATAATCATTAATTTGACCATTAATTTCTTTTATTATGCATTAGTACAGAGTAAAAATTATAAAATGTTGATATATGATAAGTGTTACCCACATTCATTTTATGCATTAGTACATGATAATGCTTTCATATATACATAATTAGACATGATCAAAATTTTAAACTTTGACCTAGTGAATAGTACATGAGTAGAACTTAGAAAAGTGGAGGTATATATGTAATACACATGTTTAATCTAACTAAGGTTGTTGTATAAAAACCAACTAAAATGTAAAATTCTTATTGTAAATGTATAATTAAAGAATTTTATTAGTTGAAACTTTGGATGTCTAAAAGGTTAATACAAGTTTAATGAGAGATTAGAAGATGAAAAGCTATAAAATTGCAATAATAAAACTATAAAGGTTTCATAGAGAATGTTGTAGAGTAGGATTAATTGATGTGAGATATATATATTGCTTGGGATAATATAAAAAGAAAAAAAAAAATTAGGGGCCCTCCATAATGTGAGGCCCTGTGTAGAGGGTCTCTTTGCACACCCTCTTAGATGGCCATGTTGACGGCAAGATGAAGTGAAATATTTTTTTTTACTTATTTTTTTTAGAGTTTTGCTTGTAAGTTTTTACCTTTCATTTGAAAGGTTTTTTCTTGGTTTAAGTACTTAATATAAGTTTTATTTTATGTTATTTAGTTGCTATAAACTTCCTTAGGTTGTTAGGAAAGTTTTTAGTTAGTTAGAGTTTGTTTAGGATTAGTTTTCCTATCACTAGTACATAACTAACATTAAGTAACACGCAAAAAGTGTTACATAAAGTGGCAAAAATGTTATTATAGATAATAGGTAACACTTTAGTGGGTGATACATCCGCCCATGTTACCTTAGGTATTATGTAACATTTTAGGTAACATATGGCAACACTTTTAAAAGTGTTACTATAAACCCTATTGTATAGGGTATTTTTACCCTAGACACGTGGACTAATGAGAGGTCGCCACGTGTCGAGCTAAGGATGGCCCATGTGGCTCAACATCCTCTTGACACTTGGCGCCCTCAGATATGTTTCTGAATTGGCGGCTTTCAAAAGGCCCAAACTCCTAGGAGCGCCGTAAAACGGCGCAGCCCACTAAAATCTAGGTCAAGTGACCTAGGTAGGGGCACATTTTCCAACGACCCTATAAATAGGGAGATATTTCCCCATTTTGGGGACACATTCAATCATTTATTACACCCTTATTCTCTTACATCAGAGAAAGACATGAGCTTGGAATCCGAGCAGATACCCACCTAAATTTCCGTTCTCTCTATTCCGTTTCAAGTTACTAACTTGTGCGTCGGAGGCGGAGCACCACCCAACCGGTGTCTCCGTTTGTTTTGCAGGTACAGCTCACAGCGGATTAGTCTTCGTGTTGTAACTCTCCCAAGTCCCAAGGGACAAAAACACTCAAAACATTTGGCGCCGTCTGTGGGGAGAGTACCTCGAAGATGTTTCAAGAGTCTGTACCACCCTCTAACCGTCTGGGCGATGACCCAGAAGTTTTTACAGACCAGGAGGATGAAGATCCTAAGGTTGAAACCTTTACAGCCGAAGACGACTCTCTCAGAATCAAGCGCATCCGGCCCAGAGAGACTTTGGAGCCGGGTGCCTCCCAGGCAGGTCCAAGCAGATCCACTGGGCAGCCAGAAGGGGAAACCCAAACGGCAGCTGGATCAGCCCCTGTCACCCGAGACGAACTCATGAGATTCATGACAAGTTTCAAGGGTGAAATTAAAGAGCTGATCACTAAAAGCCGGGCTGGCCCAAGTAAAGGTCAGTCGGCAAAGAAGACTCCTCCAGAGAAGGGGAAGTCAGTCAGAAACCGGCAGCCCACTCCTCATCCAAAGGAGAAGGCAGTCGGGACCATTGATTGGTCAAGGATTCTCCTTCCTGGGAAGGATACCAAAAACACTCGCCGGACTCAGCAGCCGGTGAGAAGTAAAAAAGCAACTCTTGATGCCCGGGAGATCATCAACCGGAAGAGAAACCAATCGCTGTCTGAGTCGGCTTCAACGTCGAACTTTCCAAACAGCTTCAACAACATTTCTGCAGGGAGTGCACCCTCCTTGCATGAGAGTCAGACAGGCGGTAATACCGTCCATTCTGGTCCTCATATGATTGGAGTTGTCCCGTATGTGCCTACTCAGGCTTACGAACAGTATCCCCCTCACTTCATGCAGCCGGCCTTCTTTGGGGGTCAGGCGGCATATCCAAATGTCCAGCCATTAGACTGGCAGCTTCGTCTGCTACGCCTGGGTGAACAGCCTTCTGCGTTCACCCAGGAGATAACCAAGGCGGCCCAGCCGGCCAAGGTTAAGAACGTGTTGGTTGGTACCTATGATGATACCACTAATCCAGAAGACCACCTCATGGCTTACACCAATCTCATGTATCTGCAAGGGTTGGATGATGCCACTTAGTGTCAATGCTTCCCGACTACATTGAAGGGCATTGCCCAACAATTGTTTGTGGTCCATCGATAGATTCAGGAAGCTTGCCTTCCTGTTTGCTTCTAACTTCTCAATGAACATCCCTGCTAAGAAAACAAGCCTTGATTTGAGCTCTGTTAAGCAGGGAGAGAGAGAAGGGCTGCGCTCATATGTTAGGCGGTTCAACCTGATCAGAATTCAGATTCAGGGGCTGTCTGATGAGGTAGCTTTTACAGACTTTTTCAAAGGTCTGAGAGACAGGTCGACCTTTAAGTTTGACCTAGTCAGAAAAGGGGCTTTCACCCTGCAGGCGACCCTGAGGGAGGCGGAAAGCTACATTCAAGCTACCGACCTCTGCTCGCCTGGAAGCCAGTCGGACTCTAAGAAGTCTGACAA